TATAAGAAATATTCTTTGTAATAATCTCGAAATTCAATCAAACAACGCGAACGCGATAATTGGAGACGTGTAAAGCGCGCAGGGGAAAAAAGGAACATCGACAAGATTTAATTAAAATTCGATGTTATTTTTACTTCGATAAATCGTGTAATAGATGGGATATATTTTTCTTTGATTCCGATGAAATAATTCCTATGAGAATTGTACCTCGTATTTTATTTCACTATATTTGATCACACGGATATTATGCGCTACGGGATGTTGTTCTTTTTTCTATCGAACCGGTACGATATCCGTGTGTGAGAAAGGGTATTTATCGAATTTATTATGGAATCGGTACGCTTTGCACCGCGGAACTAAATGAAAGAAGTCCGCATAAATTTCCTTTTTTCCGTTTGTTTCCTTTCCGCGTGGACTTTATGCGTATTTCATCGACGGCGCGCGCGAGGCGCCAAAAAATACGGATTACCCGGAATTTCAATATTCATACACCGTTGTCATATTGTTTGTCAAAGTGTGTATAGTAGTTCTGGGCCGCGTTGTAAGGCCGAGGCTTACAGCCTTAACGCAAATTGCATAATAATGTAGCATCGCGGAATTCTGTTGTTAGGCAGCCCCGAACATAAGCCGGGGGAAGAGGATTTGAAATGTGTTCCCTATAGAAACAAGTTTTAGTACAAACCGAAGTGTCCGAAGCACTCGAGCCGGGCTTTGGAATAACCTTTACATCCGCGTCGATTCGCCGTTTCGGACACGGCGGTGTCAGTCGTTCTAACTTACGAATGACATGTGAAGAAATTCAATCAGCTTCGTGGCTGTTAGATTGAAAAATAAAGTTTAAGAATTACATCTGACCCTCGATTTACGCGGACTTTTTCCGCGCGAGCCTCTTTTTTACGTGGTAAATTGGAACACTATTTACGCGATAGTTTTTACGCGCGATCCGAATTTAATAACAGCGAATAAAATATATTTTTGTTTTATAAAATGTCATTACTATTATTTCTTTCGTATGTGAAATAAATATGTATTTCTAAAACTTACACCGGCTTTTCTCTTCAATATTTTGTTTTCTCTTGTACCGTCAGGCTGCATTTACGCGATTTTCGTATAAAACGAACCCACGTGGAACGGATTTTCGCATAAATCGAGAGTCAGGTGTATCCGTGACAACACCAGTACTGATAGTCGTTGGGTATAGAATCTTACTATGTAACTAATTATAAAATAAATCAAAGAAAACAATGTCACATGAATAAAAGCATTAATAATATTTCTTTTTTCATTCCTTTTGCAATGCAGTTTCAGTTCCAGTGTCACAAAATATTCTAGATTTTTCTCTGGAATTAACGATATACACAATGGTTGTACTCTGTTTCCTTTTATTTCGAAAACATTCTGAATAAATAACATTTTCAGTCGTTAGAGAAAATAATGATTATTGCAGGAATTGTACCAAAATTGTATTATCGCACATGTCAGCGAAATGGAAAAGAGAGAAAAGCTGTGAAGTTCTCTTTCATCCTCGATACACCAAAACAATTGTGCCGCACGATATCTTTTATTTACAAAACCCACAGTAATGCCGAAACCAGAAAGCAGAAAACGAACAAAACGTGATACGAATAATCGGCCCGACGAGTACGGCCAAGTTAAAAATTTCTCCGTTTACATACCGGGCGGAGTTGGCGTAACCGTTTCCAGACGCGTAATCGTCATCCGCATTGTTAACCGTTACTTCTCAGCCAAACTCGTTTACCCAACCCCCAATTACCCATTCGCCGGAACAACAATGGTGTTCAACGGTTTTAAACTGCTTCGTGTTAGAAGAAATAAAAAAACGAAACAAAGAACACGGTATTTATTCAATTTAAACGTAGAAGATAAAAGATATGCGTTCTTTTATTTCATTTTAATACTTCACCTACTGGCGGTTATTGAATGGTCTTCAAAATTAATAATTAACAGTCTTCTACTTCTTAATAGAACTTTTAACAGCGACGTTAATTGTAACGATGAATTAACAAGTATTCTTTAGGTAACACGATGCAACGATTTTCAAAGTTATTATAACTAAAGAAAAATTCTTAGGTAAATTAAAGATAGGAGGGAAAGAAGGTGGAAACAATGAGTAATTCAAAGAAAACCAAAAACAGAAAAGGAAAGGTAAAAACAAGTAAAAATTCAAACCAACCAAAATAAAGAACAATTAAAAAGTGAGCAACAGGAAAGGTTAAAAATAAATAATTCAACGAAGATGAGAGCTAAACAAGAAGAAAGAAAGGAACGTGAAAATGAGGAATGACCCCAAGAAAACAATGGAAAGGCCGATAGAAAGATGAAAACAACGATCAATTCGCTATGATTCTGTAATAATCGAGAGACGGGGTGTTAGTGTGCTGGAAACGGGGACGGCGAGAGCCACGGACATCAAACCTACTAATCGGGCAAACGGAACTACGGCTCTGACGGACGACGAGCCATCCCTTCCTCGTCGTGTACCCAACGCAACGGCGCGCTCCTTCCGCGTCATTAACGACCGACCTCGACAGAATCCGCCTCGTATCCAGAGATCGGTTCGAGTTGTACACGTGTACCCGCGTAACAGGGATTCCGACGGCGAGATACGCGCGCGACGGGTAGCACCGATAGCTGCTGGAACCGGAGCAAACGAGCTTCGGCCGCACAGTCCCGAGGCCGCGAGTAATTAACGAACGCTCGAGGACAGTGAAGATTTTACGATCGTCGGGCACTCGTTAAAAACTCCCTCCCTCTGTCCCTCTTCCTCCGCAGCCCCTGTTCCGGTGACGACGCACGCAACGGGACACAGGGGTTGGCGCCTTCCTGCGTGAAATCAAAGCTGCTGGCGCCGGACGAACGTTTCGTTGACTAGCACGCCGCCGTTCGATTTGTTAACCCTTTCGACGCGACTTTTCACGAGCGAATTTTATTTTTCGGGAAATGGAAGGCGATTCGAAAGAGAGCTCGGAAGTTTGAAGATGGATATTGCTCGTGAAATGGAGGACGGATTTAATAAATCCTACGATATTAATACTTTCAAAGGTATTCCGGATTTTTTGGGTTTCACGGGATGAAAGCATTGATTGGTGGGTTACTGTGGCTTGTGGAAATCTCAGTTTTAATGGTTACTGTCGATATTTGTTTAATATTATAAATGCTGATACATATCTTTAATTTTAATTATCTTTGAAAATGTCGATCTTCGATATATATTATAGTCATTATTATTATTATTATAGTTATTATTATTATTATTATTGTTATTAGTAGTAGTAGTAGTAACAGTAGCAGTAACAGCATTATTATGCTTTCCCAGTTTTCACAGCCTTCGCCGACAAATATTCTTTTACACGGCACTTTGTGGGTCAAAGTACGCAAAGACAATAGCACAGTAACACCTCAACCTTTGCCACGAGCTCATAAAGAAGTCTAATAAACACTGACAAATCTCTCTCTCATAACCACCACGGGTTTTATCTCAAGAATGTCGAACCTCGCTGTGTATTACACTCCGCGGATCAAGATGGCGGGAAGACGAGTCGCCACGGGGTGCCGGGGTCACGGAATAAATTGGAGGTTGGAAAAAGAGAGACCGAAATCAAGGAAGAGAAATGGCAACGAATCGGGCCAAGAGAGAGGACGAGTCACTGGTCGAGGGGAAAGAAAGAGGACGAGATGCAGAATAAGAAAAAGAAGG